TAAGACCTTTTGTTGTTGTTGTTAAGTGCCATCGAGTCGGTTCCGACCCATAGCGACCCTGTACAGGGTTTCCGAGGCTGTAAATCTTTATGGGAGTAGAAAGCCTCATCTTTCTCCTGCGGAGCGGCTGGTAGTTTCGAACCGCTGACCTTAAGGTTCGCAGCCCAATTCGTAACCACTACGCTACCAGAGCTCCTTATTTTAAACCCCAAAACGCAGATCCTCCGCCAGATCAAGAAATCAGAAATTCAACCTCAGAGAGGTTTGCCACTGACTGCTGACCTAAAGGTTGTTGGTTCAAACACACCCAGTGGCACAATGGAAAGAAGGGCTAGCAATCTGGTTACCTAAAGATTAGCTAAGAAAACCCTATAGAGCAGGTCTACTCTACAACGCATGTGCTGGCCAGTGAGTTGGAATGGCTTGGTGACAGCAAGTTTGGTTTGGGGTTTGGTATTTAACAAGCAAGTGAAGCAATTCTGAGAAGGAACATATCATTAGCTTAGTTTTACAGATGATGAAACTGGAGCTTAGGCAAGTTAAAAAATTGGCCAAGGTCACATATCCAGTTAAGAGTAGAATGCGGACTAAAGCACAGGACTATTGTTGTTGGTGGTGGTTCTGACTCATAGTAACGCTGTGTAAAATAGAGCAAAACACTACCCAGTCCTGCAGCATCTAACAATTGTCCTGCTTGGGTCCAGGACCAACCGGCCTCAAAGCCTTCCTCTTAACCATCATGGCACGTTCTTTTTTCATTTTTATTCTTTCCAAAAGGGCAGCAGGATGCAGGGCACTTTATCATTTGGGGTTTTGCAATTGTAGGAATTCAAAATGTTGGCACAAGTGGGGAATTTGAAATGTGAAGGACATCTGGAATTTGAGCAGGCATAACTAGTTACAGAACAGGCCAACAGAGAGAGGCAGTGTAGTGTCCTGGTTAAGAGCATGGATTCTGGAGCCAGGTTGCCAGGTTTGAATCCCAACTTTGCTACTTTTAGTTGTGTGACCTTGAGCAGCTGACTTATGCAATGCATGCTTTAGATTTCCCACCTGGCATTATGGAGATGCCAACAATACTTATAGGGTTGGGGTGAAATGAAATGAGTTCATTGTCTATGACATACTATATCTTAGAACAATATCTATGTTTGTTGTTGTTGTTAAGTACCATGGAGTCGATTCCGACTCATAGTGACCCTGCAAAGGGTTTCCAAGGCTGTAAATCTTTACAGGAGCAGAACGCCTCATCTTTCTCCCATGGAACCATGGTAGTTTCGAGCTGCTGACCTTGAGGTTGGCAGCCCAATTCGTAACCACTACGCTACCAGAGCTCCTTAGCATATTGCAAATAAACTCACTGCCATCAAGTCAGTTCCAATTCATAGTGACATTATAAGGTAGACAGTCCTGGTGTGGTGTTGTACAGTAAGCAATGGACTGAAAAATTGGTTTGAACTGTAAGGTCAGCGGTTCAAATCCACCAGCCACTCCTCAGAAACCCTATACAGGGTCTGCTGTCAGTGGGAACCAACTCAATGTCACTAATCAACAAATCAACTATAGGATAAAGTAGAGCTGTCCCACAGGGTTTCCAGGGCTGTAATCTCTACTGAGCATGGTGGCTCCATAGGATAAACACTGGACTGCAAACCATAAGTTCAGTGGTTCGAGCCAACCAGCCACGTCACAGGAGAAAGAGGAAGCTTTCTGCTCCCACGAAGATTTACAGTCTTGAAAGCCCTATACAGGATCACTATGAGTCAACACACTTAACAACAACAACAACAATCTTTATGGAAGCAAACTGACACATCTTTCTCCCATGGTCGATTGGCATAACACAGTCCGCAAAGACAATGCTCTACATCCTACCTTGTTGAGGAACGACTGGGGTCTTAAAACTTTGTGAGCAGTCATCTAAGGTGCAACTGTTAGTCTCTCCTTGTCTGGAGGAATGAAAAGTAAAGGAAATGGAAGACGCATGGAAACAATTAGTTCATTAGTCTCCACGACCCTGAGATTAGAACTAAACGGTGCTCATCTGCCACAACCAACTGCTCTGAAAGGGATCACGTTAGAAGGTCCTAGATCGAGTGGGAGAAAAATGTAAAGCAAAACTACAAATTATGCGGGGGGTGGAAATCAAGCTTACTAATCAGAGACTGGTGGAACCCTGAGGAGTATGGTCCTTGAATGCCCTTCTTATCTGGAAATTAACAACAACAATTCATGAGGTTGGGTACCGCAAAGATTTAAAAAGATGGTTTCACCAAATGATATAATGCCTAATTGTCCATAAACTGAAACAACTCTCTCTTTATAAACCAAATACCACCAAGGACACACACCCCCCACCAAAGGGGACTTTCAAATAAAAGTTTTTATGTATTTATGCTTTACAGGTGTGGTCCACGTGGAAGGACAGGAACATTTTTACATGGAAACACAAACTATCCTGGCTATTCCAAAACACGAAGATAAAGAAATGGTATTACACCTTGGGACGCAGTATCCAACGCATGTGCAGGTAAGAGGATATTTTGGAAAATGAGACTCCAGTTATTCATGAGGTGTGAGGCCCTTACAATCAATACTCCACTTTTGATTCCTCCTAATCCCAGGCTTCAGACTCTCTGCACATCTACATTAAAATTCAGAAAGGAAAAAAATGGTCAAATATTTCCTTACAAGGTTCACATCTTTCAAAGAGACCTGAAACTTTTGCTACCTTCCATTCCAAAATAGGACAAAGTTCATCTTTCCCATATAGCAATTCAAAATGTAAAACTTAATCTCAGGAAATCAAAGCCTTAGTGTTGCCTTTAAATTTCCACTTGTGGTACATTTGCATTTATTATAATGTAGCTAAGTAGATATATGAATGCTTTCATGCATTCATTTAGGAGTCCTTGTGTGGCCCTGTAGGATAAGCACTAGACCAAAAGGTCAGTTTGAACCACAAGGATGGTGGTTCAAACTCATCAGATGCTCCTTGGAAACCTTACACAGGGTTGCTATGAGTCAGAACTGACTCAGTGGCACTTAGCAATAACAAAAACAAATGTATTAATATAACTTTCATGTATACACGTTTAGAGAACTGTTATTTCCAAGATATTCAGTTGAGTGCATCACTGGTTCTACCCAGAGACTCAGGTACTAACTGAAAATTTAGAGGTTCATGTTCACCCAGAGGTACCTCAGTAGAAAAACTCAGCCATTTAAAATCCTTAGCCACAGTTGTACTCTGACACACATGGGATTACTAATCTACTAGCTAGTAGTGCAGGGAGAGCTCTGGGAAGTGGGGAGTGATGGCTGAATGGGTAAACGGTGTCGTATGAGGATGAAGAAAATGTACTAAATGGTCTACATCTGCCTCGGAAAGTTCACTTAGGTCTACATCATCTTGTTGTACTAATCAAACACCTGAATGGCAATGGCTTTTGTGAAACTCGTAACTACTTAAATTCACTGAGATATAAAACAACCCCACAAAACACCCACTGCCATGACAGTGGTACAGCTGTGTAAATGATCAAAGTGTTGAGTTTGTGACATTCTCTCACCAAGCAGAGGGGAGGAAATCCTTAAACTATAGCTTCAGAGCCTAACCTTTTGCAGGAATTTGTGGCTGCAGCACTAAACATCCCAAGGAATAGAATTGCCTGCCACATGAAGCGAGCTGGTGGAGCATTTGGGGGAAAAGTGACCAAGCCCGCGCTGCTGGGAGCCATCTGCGCCGTGGCCGCCTACAAGTAAGAGTTACAGTCAGAGCTGTTAGCGTCAATCATCCTGGCCTCACTGAAGCCACTCGTGTCCCCAAGTCCTGCAAGTCTCTGCTGTTTTCCATTTCATTTCTAAAGGGTTCTAGTTAGTATGTCGGAGAAAGGACACAAAACAAGGACCTGTGTTCCTGTCCTCGCTCTGACACTCACTTGCAATGTCACGTTGAGTAAATTGCCTCAATGCCTCATTCACAGGTGGGGGAAATTGTGTCTACCTGTCTCTCAGGGTTGTTGTGCAAAATAAATGTAAATTTACCTTATAAATTGTAACTCATTTCACAAACATAAAAAGGATGCCTTTTTCATGATCTACACTGCTGGCACAATAGAGTTAAACACTGAGCTGTTTACTGCAAGATCAGATGTTCAAACTCACCTGCTACTTCTGTAAAGATTTCTCACCCTAGAAGTTCCACTACACTGTCCTTTGGGGTCACTGTGAGTCAGAATCGGCTTAAAGGCAGTGGGCTGGGTATATTGACTTTCACTTTTTAAAATGCTTAGTTGAAAGTCATTAAATTACATCATGCTGAAGTTGGATGAACAGGAGAGTCCAAAAGTCATAGTTCATCATGAAATAAGTCAAGGGATCTGCCAATGCCTGGGAATGTTCACTTTAGGCCTGCATCATCCAGATGTACTAACCATGCACCCGAAGAACAATGACTTGTGAGCGTTGTCCCTACTTCAAGCCACTGAGATATAAAAGAATCCCACTGCCATCGAGTGGACACTGTCTCAAAGCAGCCCTGTAGAACAGAGTAGAAATGCTCTGTAACATTTCTGAGATTGTTCTTCTTTATGGGGGTAAACAGCCTCATCTTTCTCCCATGGAGTGGCTCGTGGGTTCAAATCACCAACCTTGTGGTTAGCAGCCCAATGCATAAGCCAATGAGTCACCAGCATTCTTTTCACTGAGCTATAGCCAGCACAAACTTAACATAGTCCAGGCAACCACAGCCAAAAGCTAAGTGTGACTGTCTTAGCTCCTTAGTGCTTTCCAACCGTAGAAAAGGCTGCCTTGTGCATAGCAATTTTTCAGATGCTGAGAAGATTCTATCAAAATATAGAGGACTCATTGATAGGAAGGGAGTGACTTTATGAAAGGGAAGTCTGAAAGCAAGGAAGATTGAGCTAGACTGAACGTAAGTTCTCAACTCCTTCAGCCTCAGTACCCCCTAATGGCAAATAGTTAATGCCTTTTTTTCATAATATAACCTAAACCCGTTTCTGTCAAGTTGAGTCTGACTCATAGCCATCCTATAGGACAGAGTTTAACTGTCCCTGAGGGTCCCAAAGGCTGCAATCTTTAGATCCCAAAGGCTGTAATCTTTATGGAAACAGCCACATCTTTCTCCCTTAGAGTGGCTGGTGCATTCAAACCCCCAGCCCTTCTATCAGCAGCTAACTGCTTTCATCATTGCACTCCAAAGCCCTAATATAACCTACCTCCTGGTGTGATTCTGTACGTGGAATAAAGCACTGGACTGCTAACCTCAAGGTCAGCAGTTCAAACCTCCTCAGAAACCCTATACAGTTACTCTATGAGTTGGAACCAACTTGACAGCGCTTTACAACAACAATAACATTAATATAATTTGGAGCCCGTAAGGTCATTTGGGCTAATGCATCAGACTGCAAAGTTGTTTGAACTGCAAGGTCAGTGGTTCAAGCTCACCAGCTGTTCCTTGGAAACCCTATACAGGGTCACTATGGGTGGGAATCGACTCGACGGCACTTAACAGCAACAAGAAGGTCATTGTTTCAAACCCACCAGCCACTCTGTGGAAGAAAGATCTGTCTGTTCCCATAAAGATTTATAGTCTCAGAAACCCTGTACTACAGAGCAGTTCGACTCCATCCTATAGAGAAGCTCTGAGTCAGAATCGATTTTATGTCAGAGAGTTTTGTTTCATTTATTTTTTTCATATAATTACAAAATAATCATGAAATGTCTTCATGTCATGCAAAAAAAGAAATAAAAGGAAAGTAATTGGTAACCAGGTAATATGACTTCAATATATTGTCTTAGTCAGGTGTGACTAAACCAGAATAATAATTTTACATTCTTTAAATACTGCTGCGAAGTTCCAAAATGTCACTTAAGGCCTGTAACTACTCCCATTGAAAGTCACTAAGCTAGATGATCTCAAATCCCCTGCCCCATCTCTAAGGTTATGAAGCATCCAGTATATTAACAGTCGTTTCCTGTAGGACTGGCTGCCCGGTCCAGTTTTTGCTAGAGCGCGATTCTGACATGCTGATAACTGCGGGCCGCCATCCACTCTACGGAAAATACAAAGTGAGTCAGCATAAGATACCTAGCAAATTGCTTAAAATGTTGTTCACTGCTAACCAACTAGTAAAAACGATCATTCTTCAATTCCTTACCACTTGAAAGTCCTGTTTGGATGCTGCCTAAAACTTGTCAGAACTTTCTGGTGAGACCACTTTCGCTTGGGCACCCTTACTATCCCTTTGGTCTTTGATCTGTACATTAGCCGGGTAGATTGTCAGCTGTGATCAGATGTGTTTGTGTCCCACATAGTTTGCCTGAGAAGGAGGATTATTGGCAAAATTGCCTTACCCATTACCATTTTCCAGATTGGATTCATGAACAATGGTGAGATCAAAGCTGCTGATGTTGAATATTACGTCAATGGCGGATGCACGCCTGATGAGTCTGAGATGGTAAATATGAAACGTGCTTTCTCATTGGTCGCCAGTAGAGCTGCCCAGGCACACTGCATTTGCTTGAACATTTGGCTTATAAATTAGATGAATTCTGTGAAGAGTTCAAGTTAGAAATAAAACTCAGAGTAGTGGTCTTGATTATTTGACAAATGTTTTGTTTTGTTTTCATTTCATTCAGGTGGTGGAATTCCTTGTGCTGAAATCTGAAAATGCATATCATATTCCTAATTTCCGGTGCCGGGGTAGACCTTGCAAAACAAATTTGCCATCCAACACTTCCTTTAGAGGATTTGGCTTCCCCCAGGCTACAGTGGTAGCTGAAACTTACATAACTGCAGTGGCATCCCAATGTAACTTACTCCCTGAAGAGGTAATCAGTGAGAATCCTTCAACAAAACCCCAATATCAGTTGGCATGCTGCCATCGGACATTCAACTCTGACATCTGGCAGCTATGACATCCTGACATTGAAATATATCTTCTTCAGCATCTACATATGGCATTATGTCAATCTCTACATGGATTCAAAGATATAAGTACTCTCATCATCCAGAATCAGTTAGCTTTTTCTGCATAATAAATCACCACAAAGTTTAGGGGGGCAGCTAGTCTAGGTCAGCTCCACTGGAGATTCAGGGTCTGAGACAGCTTCATTTGTATGGCCAATGGTTGTCAGCTGTTTAATCTAGAATGTACTTCCACTTCTGCTCCAGAAAGTCTCTCATCCTTCAGGAGACTAGCCCAGCCTTGTTCACATGGTGGTGGTGACAGTGTTCCCAGGAGCAGGAGGTGTGTTCATTAGGGCAAGCCCTAGTGCACAAGCGTTTTCCAAGACTGCCTATCTCACAAACTTGTATATATTGTGCTATTAGTCAAAGCAAGTCACATGGGCAGGTCGGAGTTGGTATAATACCACCCAAGAGCCTGAAAACAAGGAGCAGAATAATTGTGGCTCTTTGTGCACACATTTTACCAAAGTTCAGGCCTTTGTGGAGCTAATTTGAGAACAGTTAGATAAAGGCGTCCCTTGTAGGAATAAAAGATGTGCATTTTGAGTCAGGAGAATCTTGTCTTACTACTAAGACTGTGACCGCACCAATATTAGGAGTCCTGGTGTGGTGCTGTAGGATAAACACTGAACCGCTAACTGCAAGGTCAGTGGTTCAAGGCCACCAACCATTCCTCAGAAACCCTATACAGGGTCACTATGAGTTGGAACTGACTGAATGGCACTTACCAGCAACAACCACAATGTTCATCAGAGTTATTATGGAGTTTATTGGAGCGCCTAGAGCCTGGGCCCTTGAAGTGAGCGCTAAGTTTCTATCATTATTATTGTTACCAATGTTTATAGGTGGACACTTGCAATAGAATATTTATGTTGTTATTGGAAGCCTCAAACTAATGGAGATTTTATGAGACAGCGCAGAAGTGCCCCAAAGGGTTTTCTTAGCTGTCATTTTTAGGGGAACCAATCTCCAAGTCTTTCTCCTGTGAACCTCTGACTGAGTTCAAACCACCAAACTTTCAGTTAGCAGCTGAGCACTTAACCATTAGCACCACCCTGTTTACAGCCATTTAAATTGTTTCTTTCTTTTCTTTAAAGAAAGACTTTCTTCATATCTGGTATGTAACAAAATGCATGCTCCACATATAGAACAAGTACGTGCCCTTAAAATACATTTTATTTTTTCCTCTTTCAGGTGAAAGAAATAAATATGTATAAGACAATTAGCAAAACAGCCTATAAGCAAACATTTAATCCAGAGCCCTTGCGAAAATGTTGGAAAGAATGTCTGGAGAAATCATCATTTTATGCTAGGAAAGTGGAAGCAGAGGAATTTAACAAAAAGAATTACTGGAAGAAGAGAGGGCTTGCTACAGTGCCCATGAAATTTTCCATTGCCACCCCCAAGGCCTATCAGAACCAGGTGAGCTTGAGTAAGATACTGTCTCAGTAAAAAACACAGCAAATGACTGGCTATCAGAAATAGCAATTGTGTTCAACTAGAGATGTCCCATTTGGGAAGAAAGAAGACAGTGGGGCAGCTTCCTGCTATAGGAAAGAATGGTTTGGGAAAGATCTGGGGCCGTGAACAGGGGCAGCCTAGTAGGACATGGTATGAAGAACCTCAGAAAGCAGCTATTAAAGTCCAGCCCAAGGTCTAGCCTTGGTTATTAGGACTTGAAACATGGACACTGGAGTTTGGGGTCAACTTTCAAATTTATGAGGTATCTGGGGAAACAAAAGGACCCCCCTCCTCTCTTCTTCCTAGTTTCTTACTGACATCAGTAAAGTCATTTGAGGCCAGATACAGCTACCTGCATCTCACAGAGTTACAAAGTTTACTATATTGAGCCTAGATGATTATTCCTCCTTTCTTGCTTACCACAAATGGTTTTCCTGAGGTTCTGCTTTTGAGTCTTTTATTTCTTCCCCCATCAGAAATGTCCTGATCGTTAAACCTGTGCAAAGGAAGGAAAACAGGCTTCCTCTGTGGTGTGAATAAAGGGTCTCTTACCAAAACCATCTCTGTTCCACACCCTTCCTGGGAGTTCACTAACAAGGCTGAAAGTAAAATGACAGGGAGAGAAGAAGCCAGGAGTGCTACACCTCTTGGACCAGACATCCAGTCTTCTGCCCTTGATGTGTTTCTCAAGCTGGAGTTCCATGCCAGTTCAAACTACTGACCATCAAGTCAATTCTGACTCACATGTCAAAGTTGAGCTCAGCTCCATAGAGTTTTCAATGGCTAAGTTTTCAGAAGTAAATCACCAGGCCTTTCTTCTAAGGTGCTTTGTTGTTATTTAGTGCCATCAAGTGGATTCCAACTCGTAACAACCATGTATAGGGTTTCCAAGGAGTGACTGGTGAGCTTGAACCACCAACCTTGCAGTTCAAACCGACTTTATATTCCAGTACACTAACTCTCAGTGCCACACCAAGATGCCAGGTACTTCTGGGTGTACTCAAACCACCAACATTTCTGTTAGCAGTTGAACATATTAACCATTTACACTGCCCAGGAAATGCCAAATAACACACAGACCCCTTTTTAAAGAAAACTTTTTTTTTTAATTTTATTGTGAATTGAGTGGAAGTTTACAGAGCAGATAGATCATCCATTTTATATTCAATAAATCATATATTTTGCTTCATTACAATGATTACAATCCCCTCCATGAATTTCCACGTCTAGGGAGATCAGGATAATAACATGTTGTGCAGATTGGAACTTTGCAGAGGCCACTCCCAAAGCTTCCAGTAAGCAGTCAATACTAATGGGAAAAGAGATGACCCCTCATTCAGAGATCTATGCTGATCATAGTCAAGTCAGGGGATTCTTACAAGGCATCCTCTAGCATAGCCATAGATAAAGTCTTTCTTCTTCAGCATAAAAAAATAAAATGAGAGATTGCCTCTATGGAACAAAATTACTTATCCAACAACCTCAGCTAAACTCACAGAAACATTTGGGCTACACTGGCTTCCGAACTGACGTTATAACTATTTGCCCCCAGGCTGCCGCTCTAGTCCACATCTATCTAGATGGCTCTGTCTTGGTTGCTCATGGTGGCTGCGAAATAGGACAAGGCCTTTACACCAAAATGATTCAGGTGAGTCAAGTGTTCATCTCCTCTACTGTAGAAGCATATAGCACCTTACAATCAACTTAGCAGCTTCTTTTCCTTGTGATGCAGTAGAAAGACCACAAAGTAAATTCACAGACCAATTGTAAAACTTAGCTTGATTTCAGGAGTGCAAAAATGGAGAGGGGTAAGGGAGGGAAGTATGAGAAATGAGAAAGGATATTATTCCTCCTGCATACAGAAAGGCCAGACCTATCACTTTCTGATAAAAGGACACTCTTTCTTCCCCCTTACATAGAAAAGGCAAATGCATACAGACCCCCAAGCTTACTACTGGTTACCAAGGTGAGAGGAAGGGAGAGATGGAAAACCATTGCTGAATTTCTGTTAATTGTGGAATCATTAGTGATAACGGTGGCACTGCATGATGTCACGGAGTTGAACATGTGAAAAAAAGGTTGGAATGTCAAATGTTTTGTTAGATATGTTGTTGTTGTTGTTAAGTGCCGTCGAGTCGGTTCCGACCCATAGCGACCCTGTACAGTGTTTCCGAGGGTGTAGATATAGTTTTACCAAAAAAATTTTTTAAAGAATCAAGCCCATAAGTCTTCTGAAAACTGATTCCAGTTTTTAAAATTAAAATGCTTTCAAGCTCTATACCAGCTGCCCAAAGAAATATGGTGTTAATTCAAATCCTCAATTAGAAGAAATGAATGCATTTAACAGAGTGAGAAATTATGTTCTTAGAATTCACGATGCACATAGAAACTCTACAGGACTTGCCATTGCGTGCACTGGTTCACAGAAGTGTTTTTAAACTTCACAGAGCAAAAGATGGAAAGTTTCCCTTCTTGTTTTTTAATGTAAAGTAAAAATTGGTTGGATATGACCTTTGAATGAAAAATATGTGGGAAATAAACCTTTATTCCCAATGAGAGAGAGATGATGTTTTCATTAAGGAAATAATATTAGCGTGTACTTGGAATTAGGAAATCATAACAATCCATAGGTCTTCTTTTGAGGAGGGCGTGGTTTTGGAATCTCCACCTGTGTTTCGTGGCTGTGTGAACTGCTTGAACAGGTGCAGGTTCAGCTTGGAGTCGGGTGGCTTGTAGGACACGGTATCGGACTCCTGCCTGGAAGTGTCTGTGGACAGAGACTTGACTAACGTCTTCATCAAGTACCTGTGCCTTGGGGGGTGTGAGGATTCTTTTGGTTCCACCTCTGTCGACAGGGACTTCATGAGGCTCAGGAAGGGTTTTGCACTGGCAAGTGTGGAGGATGAGGCACTGGATCTTGCTTACTTTCCAACAAAACCTTTATGTCTGCAAATGTCCTGCAAAGGAAAGTGCAGACTGACAGACAGGAAGACAACAGAATCTGAGTTGACTGTATACCACAAGAAGAAGATGAAGGAGAAATAGTAAGTCCAAGGCCTCAGATCTGCCTCCAGGTATTGTGTGTCAGACAAAGCTAGATGTGCCAGAGTCATCATACTGCCAAATGGCTTCTATAAACTGGTATAAAAGAAAACATAGAAGAATTTGGTTGATTACATGTCTCCAAAAATAAATGCATCATTTTTTATGCCATTTAAAATGTTCAAACACATCAATCTACCTACAAACCCTAAGGATGTTATCTTAAGTATCTGACATTTGTTACCTATCAGCCCCAACACATGGCAACCCCATACACAATAGGATCAGATCATTGTGGTTTTTCATTGGCTGAGTTTCAGAAGCAGATTCCTAGGCCTTTCTTCCCAGCCTATCTTAGTCTGAAGGTTCCACTGAAACCTATTCTGTATCATAGTAACACACAAGCCTCCACTAATTAGTGGGTGGTGACTGATTATGAGATGTACTGGCTGGGAATGGAACCAAAACCTCCCATATGGAGGGCAAGAATCCACCCCTGTCTATATCCGGAGGATGTTATTGTTGCTAAGGGCCATCAAGTGGATTCTGACTCAGTTTCCAAAGAGCAGCTGGTAGGTTTAAACTGTCAACCTTGCTTATCCTACAGTACCTCATCAGGACTCCAGGTTTTATACTCGGTTCTCAAAGAAATTCAAAGGCATTCAACTTAGGGGCTTTGTTAATGAAATAAATGTTATTTCTCTTCTGCTCCTTGCAGGTGGCTAGTCGAGAACTGAACATCCCACGGTCATACATACACACATGTGAAACCAATACAGCCACTGTGCCCAATGCCTCATTCACAGCAGGGTCGATGGGGACAGACATCAATGGGAAAGCCGTGCAGGTAACTTTGCATTCCACTCTCAGTCACCCAATGACAATGCTGAAAGGAACCTTGTTCCACCCTTCTCGCCATTTGTCTGAAGAGATAAATGATCATTGTTAGAGCCAGACACTGGGTGTGGAGAGCAGGAGGTACACTAATCTCTTTAGGATACCTTTTAAATTTTCTGTAGCGTCAAAAATGAAATGTAATGCATAAAGATAGATATCCTAAGCATTAGTGAGCTGAAATGAACTAGTATTGGCTATTCGGAATCAGAGTCATATGGTTTACTATCATGAGAATGCCAAATACAAGAAGAATGGCATCACATTCATCATCAAAAAGAACATTTCAATATCTATCTTAAAGAAGAATTCTGTCTGTGATAGCATGATATGCATACGCCTACAGAGAAAAACTGTTACTCAAATGTATGCACTGAATTGTACCACTAAAGCCAGTGATGGATGATGAAACTGAAGAATTCTACCAACTTTTTCAGTATGAAATTGATCAAACAGGCAGTCAAGATGCATTGATAACTACTAGTAACAGGAATGCAAAGGTTAGAAACAAAGCAGAAGGATCAATAGTCAGAAAGTATGACCTTAGTGACAGAAATTAGCTGGAGATCACATGACAGGACCAATGATTTATTCATTGCAAATACCTTTTTAAAATAATAAAAAAAGGTTACTACTATACACTTGAACCTCACCAGATGGAATACACAGAAATCAAATTGACTACATCTATGGGAAGAGACAATAGGAAAGTTCAATATCATCAGCCAAAACAAAGCCAGGATGGTCTGTGGAACAGACCACCAATAGCCCATATGCAAATTCAGGCTGAAACTGATGAAAATTAAAATAACTCCACAAGAGCTAAACTGTGACCTTGAGTGTATCCCACTTGAATTAGAGACAACCTCAAGAACAGATTGGATATATTAGACACTAATGACCAAAGACCAAAAAACTTGTGGGATGACATCAAGAACATCATACAGGAAGAAAGCAAAAGATCGTTAAAAAGATACGAAAGAAAGAAAAGACCAAAATGTATCTCAGAAGAGATACTTGCTCTCCAGCATAGAGATGCTAAAACAAATGGAATAAGGAAGTAAAAGAGCTGAGCAGAAAATTTCCAAGGACAGCTCAAGAAGATAAAGTCAAGTATTACAAAGAAATGTGCAAAGACCTGGAGTTAGAAAACCAAAAGGGAAGAACACATTCAGCATTTCTCAAGCTGAAAGAACTGAAGAAAAAAGTCAAGGCTGCAGTACTGAAGGATTCTATGGACAAAATATTGGTTGATGAAAGAAATGGTTGATGATCAACCATTTTAAGAGGTAGTATATGGTCAAGAACTGGTGATACTGAAGCAACAATCCACTGACAGTGAAAAAGAAGCCTCTAGGAATCGATGGGGAGTCCTGGTGTGGCGCTGTGGATTAACACGCCAGACTGCAAAGCTGTTTGAACTTCAAGGTCAGTGGTTCAAGGTCACCAGCTTTTCCTTGGAAACCCTATTCAGGGTCACTATGGGTTGAAACCGACTCAACGGCACTTAACCACAACAAGGAATCTATGGAATACAAATCTTTCAACAAACTGATGCAGCAGTGGAGACATTCACTTATCTATGCCAAGAGATTTGGAAGGCAGCTACCTGGCCAGCTGATGGGAAGAGATTCATTATTTGTGCCCATTCCAAAGACAGGTGACCAAACAGAATGGAAGGAAATCATTAAATGATATCACTAATATAACATGCAAATAAAATGTTACTGAAGAGAATTCAAAACGGCTGCAACTGTACATCAACTGAAAACTGCCAAAAACTCAAGCTAGATTCACAAAATGATATGGAACTAGGATATCATTGCTGATGACAGATGAATGTTGGCTGAAAGCAGAGAATACCAGAAAGATGTTTACTTGTGCTTTAATGACTATGCAAAGGCTTTCACTTATGTGGATCATGTCAAACTATAGATAACATTGTTAAGAATGGATATTCCAGAACAATTATACCCATGAGGAACCTATACATAGACTGAGAGGCAGTCATTCAAACAGAACAAGGGGGAATTGAATGGTTTCAGATCAGTTAAGGTGTGTGCCAGGGTTGTATCCTTTCACTCTACTTAACTTATTCAGTCTGTATGCTGAGTACATAATCTGAGAAGCTGTATTATATAAAGAAGAATATAGCAGCAGGATTGAAGGAAACTCATATGCTGATGACATAACCATTGCTTGCTGGAAGCAAAGAGGACTTGAAATACTTATAAAGATCAAAGACTACAGCCTTCAATATGGATTGTACCTTAATATAAAGAAAATGAAAATCTCTACAACTGGGTCAATAAATATCATCAAGATAAATGAAGAAAAGATTGAAGTTGTCAAAGACTGCATTTTGCTTGGATGCACAATCAACACTCACGGAAGCAGCAGTCAAGAAATCAAATGATGTATTACATTAGGCAACTCTGCTGCACAAGACTTCTTTAAAGTGTTCAGTAGCAAAGATGTCAGTTTGAGTACTAAAGTGCACCTGATCCAAGCCATAGTATTTTTAATCACCTCATATGCATGTGAAAGTTAGACAATGGCTAAGGAAGACCATAAAAGAATCAGTGCATTTGAATTATGGTGTTGGGGAATATTAAAATACCATGGACTGCCAGAAGAACAAACTAAACTGTCTTGGAAGAAGTACAACCAGAGTGCTCCTTAGAGGTGAGAATGGTGAGACTTCGTCTCTTATACTTGAGACATCTTGTCAGGAAGGACCTGTCCCTGAAGAAAGACTTCATGCTTGATAAAGTGGAGGGTCAATGAAAAAGAGGAAAACCCACAATGAAATGGAAGGACAAAGTGGCAGCAACAATGACCTCAAACGTAACAATTGTGAGGATGGTGCAGGACCAAGCAGTGTTTTGTTCTGTTGTGTATGTTGTTATTGTTGTTGTTGTTATGTACCGTGGAGTCGGTTCCGACTCATAGCGACCCTGTACAGGGTTTCCAAGGCTGTAAATCTTTACGGGAGTAGAAAGCCTCATCTTTCTCCCATGGAACAGCTGGTAGTTTTGAACTGTTGACCTTGTGGTTTGCAGCCTGATTCATAACCACTATGCTACCAGAGCTCCTATTGTATATAGGGGTCACTATGAGTTGGAACAGACCTGATGACACTTAATAAGAACAAGAATAGTGGGAGAGAAGCTAGAGAAATGAATATCTGACATTTGGAATTTCAATATGGAAGACAATTCTACCAAGAAATATAGATTAGAGAATTACTGAAAAAGGGGTTCAGAAGGTTCTAAAAGAATGTTCACTGCAGTGTTTTACTAACTTAAAGGGTGGACTTATCTCAGGAGACAGCCAAACTGTCAAGTTAAAGTGTGTGCTGGAATGTGGTGGTCGAGGCATGATAAGGGACAATATTTGGATGAGCATAGGAGCTCTAGGTCATATGTTTGCCTTGTATGTGACACTCTCTGGAAGCATCCATATGTAATAAGGTCAGTGATAGAAGACTGAATGATTCAGCATGGATGGATCTCATGAAAACACAACTCTCCCTCATGTATGAGAAGCCATAATGGAAAAGAAGAGACAGAGGTCAAGAAGAATGTGGGGCATGCAGAGGCTGAGATGGTACAAGTAAGGGCAGAGGTGTAAGTGGATTCGTATTTAAGGTAAGAATGGAAGCTAAATTGGAATCCACTGACATCCAGAGGTTAACAAGCAATTTCTATTTTAATTTCAATGACAATTTTTTAATTAAAATAATGAATACCTATTATAATATATAGAATGCCCACTATGTAAGTGATCTATTGCCATGAAAACTCTCTGTCCAACAACAATTTTATGAATCTGCTTCCTATTTCTCTATAAGGGTTTCCTGAGAAACATATGGAAACCCACTGAAGAGAAAAAATAGATGTATATATTTGTAAATCCTGCAGTGTTGAGTTAAAATTATTTTTACTATAATACTGTTTAGACTTGTGCTAACACATAAGGTGTGGTGCTGTCGAATAAAGCACTGAACAGCAAGATCAGCTTGAACCACAAGGTAGGCAGTTCAAATCCACCAGCTGCTCCTGCCCAGTCCTGCACCAAGCCCACAATTGCCTCTGCGCCTGAGCCCATTGCTGCTGCTACCATATCAGTCCACCATGTTGGGAGTCTTCCTCTTTGTTGCTGACCCTCCACTTTACCAAGCGTGATGTCCTTTTCGAGGGACTGGTTCCTCCTGATAATATGTCCAAAGTATGAAAGTCTGAGAGACAAAGTCTGGCCATCCTGACTTCTAAGGAACATTCTGGTTTTGCTTCTTCAACACAGATTTGTTTGTTCTTTTGTCAGTCCGTGGTACTTTCAATATTCTCCTCCAACATCATCATAAAATTGGTAGCCCGCACATTTCAACTTATTTAAATATATCATGTTATATATTGTTTTCTTCTGATGTCATTTCAAATGGTTGTTTTGTTTGTTTGTTTTTGTTTTTCTTAGAATGCCTGCCAAATTCTTATGAGCCGCCTTCAACCTGTCATCAGGAGAAACCCTAAGGGGAAATGGGAAGACTGGGTGAATATTCTCTTTATCATCCCTGCCAGAAAAGGCAATTGCATCCAGATGAGCAAGAGTCCTAAATGATAGACAGACTGCTTGGTGGCATCCATTCAAGAAACAAAGCATTTATGAACATTCACTTCTACTTTCCATATTGGGTAAAAGAGATGTTTACATCCATGGAAACTTGGCTTTGTTTCAGAGCCTTAATTTCTCACCGAATATGATAACTGCAGAGGTTCTTTAGTAAAGTGCCCTGGGGTTGCTGTTCCAGCTGTATCACTACTAACTCTGAGGAACAGTGTCTCAGGGCTTGGTTTTGACATCTGTACAATGGAAATAACCGTAATCCTACAATCAAAAGAGTACTCTAAGACCGGAGTCCCTTGGTAGTGCAAATGATTGACATGCTGGCTGCTAACCAAAAAGTTAGAGGTTCAAGTCCACTCAAAGATACCTTAGAAGAAAGGTCCAGTGATCTATTTCCAAAATATCAACCATTAAAAAACCCTGGCACACATAGAGTTGGCATGAGTTGGCATTGACTCAACAGCAACTGAGAGTTTTCACTCTGTGATTCACCTCTACCCACCGCTGTCGAGTTGATTCCAGCTCATAGTGACCCTGTAAAATAAAGTAGAATTGCCCCTTAAGGTTTCCAAAGCTGTAAGTATTTATGGACCCTAGTGGATTTGAACCACCAACTTTTCAGTTAGCAGCCGAGAGCTCTAACCACTGTGACACCAGGTCTCCCACTCCATGATTAATTATTATTATTACAATTGCCATTATTATTATTATTACCCCACACTCCTGCTAACCCTAAAATTACCCAGGTGCTCCTTGGAAACCCTATACAGGGTCGCTATAGGTCAGAACTGACTCAATGGCACTTAACAACAACCATAAAGTCAGCAATTCAAATCCACCAACCACGTCTCAGAAACCCTATACAGGCTCGCTGTGAGTCAGAACTGACTCAATGGCACTTAACAATAACAACAGCATCTACTTTACTTTGCTCCACCAGGGAAGCTGACATAGTCATTTTTTGAAAGAGCTAATAAAATTATTTGGTAGCAAAGCAGGATACATAAACTTATATTTCTTTGTAACCAATTATCTTTCCCAGATTCAAACAGCCTTCCAAGAATCCATCAGTCTCTCAGCTACTGGATATTTCAAGTAAGGCCATTTTTACTATGACTTAAATCACATATAGACAGGGGTGACATTTAAAATATTTAAAAGGTAATAATAGGAAGAGCACTGATTGATTTCATCAGAGTTCAGTTCTGCCCAGTATTAACTCTTAAGTCACTGGGTCATGGTTGTGGGGAAAGGGGAGAGCCAGGGTTCTGAAGGATGATCCAAAGACTCCTTGGAACAGCATTTGCCAGCCAGGAGGGACACTATAGCCCTCTACACACATTTTGATTGTCCCAATAACCAAGCTCTAAAGGGTAAGGGAGTCCTGGTGTAGCATTGTGGGATAATGCACTAGACCACAAGGTTGGTTTCAGAAATGACTCAAAGGCACTTAACAACAACAATAACAAAGGGTAAGAGTGGGACACCAATAGAACGTCCTCCATGTCTTTGGTGATTCTCTTAGGATCATTATCACAGTCCCTCTAGCAGAACATGGAGAATGCAGCCCTTCTAGCAGAACACTTGCTGCAAGAGCAGGAGGTCTCCAGCCCTGGGGTAACCCTTCCACTTTCTCTGTCTCCAAGACCTGATACATAGAAGGGTAATCTGTTCCCTCATGGGGAGAGTGCCTTTGCTCTTCACTCTGAATTTCTCCTCTCAGAGGCTATCAGACGAATATGGACTGGGAGAAGGAGGAAGGTGATGCCTTTCCATATTACGTCTATGGAGCAGCCTGCTCTGAGGTTGAAGTTGACTGCCTGACTGGAGCTCATAAGGTAAAGAGCAGCATTTGTATCCCCCACCTTCATGTGGTCAACACAAACTTTAAACCCAGCCATGTGGTTTCTGTGCTATAAATGATCATCAACTTGATCTTCTCAGTGGAAGAGGCAGAGAAGAACCGAAATTCTAGTAAAGAATTCTTTTAAACCAATAACATTTTGTGTCACACATTTTCTCTTGGTGCAGCTCCTGAGGACGGATATCTTCATAGATGCAGCTTTCAGCATAAACCCCGCCATAGACATTGGGCAGGTGCGTGATGCCAGAGCCACCCCATCAGGGCTTTGGGTCTTTTTTAGAATATTCTTTCCAAAGTCCTTCAAGCCTTGCTAATGTTCAGTGCAAGTCTTCTTCTATAAATATTATATATTACAACATTTTCCTATAAGTCAATAAAACAGTGAAAATCAATTATTAATATGTATTATCTATTATACATTCACATATAAAACACTGGAAGGAAATCCCGAGAAAAGTGAATAGTAGCTGTCTTTGTGTGGCCGGTATACATGTGATTTCACCTGCTTAAGAATTCTCTGTGCTTTCTAAGTTTTCTTCAGTAAACATTAATGCATCCAGAATTAGTTAACATTATAAAGATACGTAATAATGAAATTGCATTTAAAAACCAGTTGTTATGGTGTTGACATCAATTTCTATGTTCCTTAGGATTTTCAATGACTGAATTTTCAAAATTAGACCACTAGGCCCTTCTTCCAAAGCATATTTCAGTTAGCAGCTAAATATGTTATCTGTATGCACCACCCAGGGACTCCAAAGTTATATTGTTGTTGTTGTTGTTGTTAAAGTGCCTTCAAATCAGTTCTGACCTACAGCAATCCCGAGGAACAGCTAGTGAGCTTGAACTACCGACCTTGCAGTTCAAACAAACTTTGCAGTCCAATGTATTAACCCACAGCACCACACCAGGACTCTAAAGTTGCATTAGTATTCATATAAATATTGAATTTAAATAGACTGCACGCTTTAGAGGAATGTGAAAGGGAAGGCAAATGCTTAAACACAGTTTTTGCCTTCTTGCTGAATTTAATGTTTACCTCACAAATAAATCAAATTAACTCACCCACAATCAGTTGTGGGTATAATTTGGGTTTTTTAAAATCCTTGTTACTCAAAGTATGGCCAACCCCACATGAATACAGCTCAGACCTAGCTCCCAAGATCAACCTGAAATTTGCACTTTAAAATCAAGGACTTAGAGAAATTGAGGAACTTGTCATCAAAACCTGACTGGCTTTCATCTGCCAACAGTTTCCTACCATACTAAGCCCTTCCAGTGCCAACTAAATCAACTCCAACTCCTATCAACCTCCTGAGTCAGAACAATACTGTGCTCCATAAGGGTTCAATGGTGGATTTTTCCCAAGCAGATCACCAAGTCTTTATTTTGAGCCATCTCTGGGTGGATTCAAGCCTCCAACCCCTTGACATGATTGATAGAGGATATAAAGGAACAATTTTGTTGGTTCCTCAGAAGTTCTCAAAATGTAGTCCTCAAACCTCCTCCAACAGGAGCATCTGTAGTGCTCATTAAAAATGTGATTCCTGGGCCCACTCCAGACCCAGACAGAATCACAACTTGGCTGGACTACAGCTTGGATTCTGCACATTGAAGCCACATTTGCAATTGTTCTTAAGTCTGTAAAGTTTGAGTACCATAGCTAACCCCACAGGCATCCTGCGCATCCCAGTCCCTTAGGCCTCCCAATTTATTTCTGCCTCTTTGATGCTTAAGCAAAGGAGGAAAGGGAAGTGTGATGATCAGGAAAACCCTCCACTTGCCCCATTGGAAAACGAAATAAACCAGAAGGGCATTAGACAGGCTCTTTTGGGTTTTAATCTTTTCCTTTAGAAATTAACATTGTCATTTTAAATTTAGTGCTTAAATTTGCTTAGCCTATTCCTAAACGTCTCAGTAAAATGCAGACTGTACTGCCATATAATATTTATAATCTGACATCTATGCAGGCACTCTTTATATAAAGGAGCTTTTCCCCTAGAGCATAATAGCTTGTAAATAGAACACTGTGTGACTTTTAATAAATATAGCTATCTCTTCCAGTCCATCCTGGTTAACACTGGTCTCCTTTCCATGGTAATTTATAAAGGAAAGAAATCTAGATGCTCTAATAAATGGCATGTTCTTTCTTGATTTATTCTAGTCCATGTTCCTTAATTTTAGCTTTGTTTTCATATAACCCAGCAGCTATTCCTTTAGAATGTATGAGCCAGGCAACATACCAAGCCCAGAGTACAGGAAGGCCAGACCTTGATATGCTTATAAGTTTGTTGGAGGGAAAGAGAGAGAAAAGAAGGGAAAGATGAACTGAGTAAGTCCCACCATCAGTAGAAGCATGCTCAAGGGACAGTGAGTCTGGAGTAAGTAGTTTCTAAATCCACCTGGGGTGAAGGGTAGGATCTCAAGGCTCCACAGAGGCTCTACTAGTTAGTTCTTCAGCTGGAACTTGGAGGTTGAGTAGATTACCATCTAGGAACAAGGTGAGGTGGGGAGGGACTAAGAGAGTCAAGAGAAGCTAAATTTGCAAAAGCTTGGAGGTGAGAAAGAACCTGGTGGATTTGAAGGATTAATAAAACCTTGACAAGAGTCAAGGTCCCTAGGTGTCATAAACAATTGTGTTTGGCTAGCAGTTCAAATCTACCCAGAGGTAGATTGGCAAAAAAAAATGTTTGCTTCCATAAAGATTTCAGCCAGGAAAACCCTGTGGAACTCATGTCTAACCTGTAACACATGGTTTTCGTGGGGGGTTTTTTGGAAAAAACTGGAGTCTGGGGTATCTGAGGTAGAAAGGCTAAAGGTGAGGTCAAGCAAGGTGGTAGATACCACATCCAAAGGATCTTTTATAAAGTTCATCTAGGTACTTTCAAGAGTGGCTTTCAGAGATCCATTTTCATTCGCACTGGAATGGTTATCTAACCAATATTATGTGATTGCTTTGGCTATAGATCGAGGGAGGATTTGTCCAAGGTATGGGACTCTATACCATAGAAGAACTGAAATACTCCCCAGATGGTGTGCTTTATTCTCGGGGTCCAGATGACTACAAAATTCCCACTGTCACTGAGATTCCAGAAGAGATTTATGTCACGTTGGTGCGTTCCCGAAACCCTATAGCCATTTACTCATCCAAGGTAAGAACTCAAGATCTCCTCTTTCAGAGTTAAGGAGAGTGCTGAATTTACTTGCTCTTATGAACTTAAATTCCCAAAGGAAAAAAATGGAATGATACTCACTGACTTCAAAAACCTGAGTCTTCACTCTCAAGAGAGATCTTGAAACGAATTTAAATCACACAAGAAGCGTTGAGGAATAGAACATTTTAGTAAGCAGGCCCATTTCATAGCCATTTTCTCTGCATCTATAAGTCCTCCAGACTCAAGTCTTCTTGTTCATGCGGCCCTTCCCAACCCCTCCCCAAATCAAACCTACTTTCAAGTAAGTTTCTCATTGATTATTTGCTCTGAATTGTTAATAGCCACTGAGACCTGAGATGTTGACCTTAACTCCCGGGAGCTGGTAAATTCAAACTGACCTCTATAGATCTATGTCAAGAGTTCTAGAACACAAGTATGCAAAACCTGTAACTTTCCCAATTTAAGTTTCATTTTGAACCTACTTCTGTCCAGACAGGTGGACAACATTAACCTCCCATTTACAGGGGGCTTCCTTTCCTCAGAGACGTTAAAGTAGAGGTGGGAGGTCTGACTTCCCACCTGAATGACTTCTATCTCCACTTCAACACTAGGGGCATATGTAAAGGCACAATCTTCCCTCTGTAGGTTTAGCCACCTCCCTGGCAGTCTGCTCTCACCTTCTTTTCCTCAGTGTGACCTATTGTAGCTTCCCAGTGCCTATTTAAAAAACAGAATTGTATTTTCTTACAGTTTTGAAGGCTAAAAGTTCCATTTCAGGGCCCTAGTCTCTCTCTGTCTCTCAGTTCTAGGGGAAGACTCATATCTCTTTCTGTTTCTTGATACGTGTTGGCATGAAGATAGATTCTCACGTGGTGTCTTCCCTTTGTATGTAACTCCTCAAGTCTGTCTTCCCTTTTTATGAGACACAAACTACTCAGAAGAAATTAGGTTTAGGGCCCACCCACTCCAGTATGGCCTTATTAATATAAAAAAAGGAAACCCTATTTCCAAATAGCATCCCATTCACAGGGCAAGGGTTATCTTTTTGGTTTTGAGGGCATGGGGAGTAAGAAGCACACAACAAAACCTGAGAGGAAATCTCTTTCCATTGCCCCAAGGCACCATCTCTACCATATTTGCCTCAGAATAAGCTGGGCTTTTAAAAACTAAAGCCTGGGAAGTCTTACCTACTCTTGAGTCCTTTGCCCTATCTCTCTACTCAGTCAGTGGACACCTATCAAAGACTGCTGCTGCTTGCCAAGGAGTTGTTTCCACTCATAGCCATGCTGTACAGGGTTTCCAAGGCTGTAATCCTTTACAAGAGCAAAAAATCTCAATGTTTTCTCGAGGGGTTCACAGCCCAACATGTAACCCACTAAGCCACCAGGACTGTTGTTATTAAGGGCCATCTAGCCTGGAGTCCTGGTGTGGTGCTGTGAGTTAATGCACCAGACTGCAAAACCTTTTGAACTGCAAGATCGGCAGTTCAAGCTCACCAGCTGCTCCTTGGAAACCCTATACAGAGTTGCTATGGGTCAGAATCAACTCGATGGCACTTAACAACAACAAGTCAATTCCTGAAGGAGCTCTGATAGTGTGTTGTTGTTGTTGTTAAGTGTCGTGGAGTCGGTTCTGACCCATATCAACCCTGTACAGGGTTTCTGAGGCTGTAAATCTTTACGAGAGCAGAACACCTCATCTTTCTCCCGCATAACAGCCGATAGTTTCGAACTGCTGACCTTGAAGTTCACAGCCTGATTCATAACCACTATGCTACCAGAGATCCTTTGATAGTGTAGTGGTTATGAATCTGGCTGCTAATCTCACAGTTAGCAGTTCGAAACTACCAGCTGTTACGCGGGAGAAAGATGAGGCTTTCTGCTCTCGTAAAGATTTACAGCCTCGGAAACCCTGTACAGGGTCACTATGAGTAGGAACCGACTCCACAGCACATAACCACTGCCAGTCAGTTCCTACTCATTGTGACCCTTGTCCAGCTCACACCACCAGGGCGGCGGAGACAATGCAGTTTAGAAATAAAACACACAAGTTAGGGATTAAGGAAAACCTCAAGACTCATGACCTCTAGTGTTGAGAACCGGACTCGACACGGGAGTTTGGTTCACGAAGTAGGGAGATCTGGCGGTGACAGAGATAGAGAAAGAATACACACAAAGACGCAACAAGAGAGACAAGAAGACACCCCAAGACCAAAGTGGATGCGACACTGGCGTCAGTCAGATCCTGCATGGTAAACCTCATGGCTATGCAAGCAGTTTGCACACCTTACCAACTGCAATGCCTGCCCGTAATGCATGCCCTGCAAGCCGTACC